CAGCAGCAGCAGCAGCAGCAGCAGCTGCAGTGGCAGGTCTACCGACCCGTGCAGCAGCAGCTAAGCCACCAGCAGGGTGCCCCTGGGGAGCACACAGAGAGGCCCCTGCAGCAGCAGCAGCAGCAGCAGCAGCGGCAACAGCAGCCGCAGCAGCAGCTGCAGCAGCAGCGGCGGCAGAAGCAGCAGCCGCCGCTCGCGCACCAGCAGCGGCAACGGCAGCCGCAGCAGCGGCTGGAGCCGCCTCCACAGCAGCAGCAGCAGCAGCAGCGCCACAAGCAGCAGCAGCAGCAGCAGCAGCAGCAGCAGCAGCAGCAGCAGCAGGTAGTAAGCGCGTGCCCGCGCAGCCCTTGCTGGGCCCCACACTTCGTTGCTGCTGCCGAGGCAGCAAAGCTGCGGAAAGGAGACAGCGGGGAGGCGGCCAGTGCCGGCGCTGCTGCTGCAGCGTGTGCTGCTGCTGCAGCAAAGGCCCCGCCGCACCCCAGCAGCAGCAGCAGCAGCAGCAGCAGCAGCAGCAGCAGGGAGGGGAACCCCTTCGCTGACTGCGCTTTTATGCGGATCCCCGATCCCTCAGCAATCCCCTTGCCTTTGTCTCTTTTGTCTTGAAATAAAAAGAGACAAAAGGGCATTATTTGCTGCTTCATAGTCTCTGGGGGGCCCCTGGGGGCCCCCGGGGGCCAGCAGCGCTCGTGTTGCTGCTGCTGCTGCTGGCCCCGCCAGCTGCTTCTATTGGTGACAAGCAGCTCGGGGAGCAGCAGCAGCAGCAAGTGCTGCTGCTGCTGCTGCGCCCCACAGGAGACAGTGGGGGGCTACGAGGGACTTGAGCCACGCGACGGCGCCTGCGCGTCGCGCCCTGCAGCAGCAGCAGCAGCAGCAGCAGCAGCAGCAGCTGCTGCTGCTGCTGCAGCAGCAGTTTGACACCGGAAGGGAAGAGCCTTGGGAGCCCCGCAGTCAGACGGCCTAGGCCGGGCGGGGTGGCTGGGGGGCCCCCAGAGGGGCCCCCCAGCAGCTATGTGATTTTTTGTGCTTTCTGCAGCAGCAATTGAGGGTTTGAGGAGGAAAAGAGGGCCCCCTGCAGCAGCAGCAGCAGCTGCTGCTGCTGCTGCTGCTGCTGCTGCGAGAGCAGCAGCAGCAGCGGCAGCTGTGCGCGCTTGGGTCCCCGCTCCCCGACGAATTTGGGTTTACAGCTGCGGGGACAGGGCCGGGGGACGTGGGGCAGCTGCTGCAGCAGCAGCAGCAGCAGCAGCAGCTGCAGCAGCAGCTGCTGCAGCAGCAGCAGCACCATTTGTCAGCTGCAACGGCGGCAGCCGCTGCCTCAGCTAAAGAGCTGTCTCGGGGTGTACAGGCAGCTGCTGCTGTCGCGAGATAAATTCTCCAGGCGCAAGGAGGCCTCGGCCACAGCAGCAGCAGCAGCAGCAGCAGCAGCAGCAGCAGAGGCTGCTGCTGCTGCGCTGCTGATCAGGAAGCAAGGGAAAAGAGACAGAGGGTTGGAGACAAAGAGAGGCGAAAGGAGACAGTTGCTGCTGGTCTCCTTTGCAGCTCTCTGGCCGCTGTCTCGGAGAAGCAGGTAGTGCTGCTGCTGCTGCTGCAGCGCAGCAGCAGCAGCAGCTGTTTGGCTGTTTACCAACTGAAATCTCTTTCTGGAAGCGTGTTAGCGCAGCAAAGAAGAACAGCAGCAGCAAATGCGAGCAGCAGAGGCCTTGCGGGCTGCAGTGGGGTGTCTGTACACCTCAGAGGTGCCTGTACACCTCAGAGGTGCCTGTACACCCCAGAGGTGCCTGTACACCTCGGGTGTACGTACACCTCAAGTGTGGGGCGGAGAGAGCGGAGTTTGGCTGCGGGACAACAAATGTTTGTTTGGGAATTAAAAAGTGGAATTAAATGAATTAAATTAAAATAAATTAATTGGAAAAGTCGGAGAAGCTGCTGGGGACTTCAACTTATTCTTAGTTGCAAGGAGACACTGGGCGGTTTGCTGCGCAGCAGCAGCAACAGACAGACGGGGGAGGCGACAGCAGCAAATACAGAAGCAGCAGCAGCAGCAGCAGCAGCAGCAGCAGCAGCAGCAGCGCTGATGCAGTTAGAGGTACCCCGCTGGAGGCCCGCAGCAGCAGCAGCAGCAGCAGAGAAGGGGAATGGAAGGGGGAGGAAAGGAATTAAAATAAAAGAAGACAAGAGGAAATAAAAGAAGACAAAAAATAAAAGAAGACAAGAAACTAAAAGGAGGATAAAAAGAAGACAAAAGAAAATGACAAAAGGGAAAAGGACAATAAGGGAGGGAGAAGAAAGAAAGGGAGAAAAAGGGAAAAAGAAAAAGAAAAGGAATAAAAGAAAAGAATAAAAGAATAAAAGAAGAGAATAAAAGAAAAGAATAAAAGAAAAGAATAAAAGAAAAAGAGAAGAGTTGACAAGAAGTGGTGGTGGGGTGTACGTACACTGGAACTCGGTGGAGTTGGCGGAGGCGGAAAGGAGGAAAGACAAGAAGGATTATTTTAATTCGAAGTGAAGTAGAGAATAAACAATTGAAATAAATAAATAAATAAATAAAATTAAATAAATAAAATAAAATAAATAAAAAGACAAAAGATGTGGTGAGTGGGCTGCCGGCAAAAAGACAACATCCAACAAATCGCGGTGAAAAGGACTTCAAACCAGCAGCAGCAGCAGCAGCAGCAGCAGCAGCA